CTTCTCCAGGGTAGGGAAGTTTTCAACCATTATTCCTGTGGAATTTTCTGCCCCTTTCTCCTTCTCTTTTCCTCCTGGGACTCTTATTATGTGAACGTTGGTCTGCTTTTTGTTTCCCATAAGTCCCATCTGCTATTTTCACTCTTTTTCATTCTTCTCTCCTTTTTTTTTTTGCTGTTCTAAGTGGGTGAATTCCATTACCCTGTCTTTGACTTCACTGCTCCTTTCTTCTGCTTTATCTACTCTGATATTAAACCACTTTATTGTATTTTTCCGTTTAGTTATTGTATTTCTCAGCTCTGTGACTTTTATTTGGTACTTTCTTATCTTTAGTACCTCTTTGTGGAAATTCTTACTGTGCTACCTCATGTATGAGATGAACCTTATTGCTCAACCATGTCTTAGCTCTTGGTTGTCTCTGAAGTCTTTGTGATTTACTTTTATGGCTCTCAGTAATTGACGGTGTGGCAAGCCCTGTCATTATCTCAAAAGGGAGAATCTCAGTCAGCACCTAGATTCAGGCTGATTGGAAGCCAAGTCCATAGACAGCAGCTTTTTCTTCTTCTTTTTTTTTTTTGTGAGGAAGATTCGTCCTGAGCTAACATCTATTGCCAATCTTCCTCTTTTTAGTGTGAGTAAGATTTGCCCTAAGCTAACATCTGTGCGAGTCTGCCTCTATTTTGAACACGGGTCACTGCCTCAGCATGAGTGATGAGTGGTGTAGGTCCACTCCCAGGATCCAAATGCATGAACGCATGCTACCAGAGCAGAGCATGCTAACTTACCCACTATGCCACAGGGCCAGCCTCATCAGGCAGCAGCTTTCAAAGTATACAAATATACCTCTTTCAGGGAAAGACAGGGATGTGGGCATTTCTGTCTGCTCCTTCTGAGCTGAGCTGCGAGGTGGTAGACAGTTAAGGATTATTTCTTTCTTTACTACTCTCCTTTTGAACTCATAGGCACAAGCCCCGCTGGCCACTAGATCCAGGCAAACAAGGGGTGGTCCCTGGGAAGTGGCCACAAAAACTGGGGCAGCAGATGTAAAATCCAGGACATCAACTTCCTTCCAGAAGGTACCAGCACTCTGAGCTTGGCAGGCGGAGAACATGAAGACATGACCTCCCCTCCAAGGTCTCTTGAGAGAGGATTGCCATATGCCTTTTGTTGTGTGTTTAATTACAAGCCTGCCCATCAGGCTTGAACTATAAAGATAGACTATTAGGCCTCTTTCACAGTAAGAGTGGACTCCTCATTCTCTTGCTTCCACTGTGCCCTGGAGGTGGTACCCAGTTAAAAATGCTTTCTTTCTTTGTTACAGTCCTGTGGGACCCTGAGCATAAGCCCCACTGGCCACCAGAGCCCAGTGATCTAGAGGAGTTCCCTGGGCTTCGGCCATAGAAATTGGGGCACCAGATGAGGGTCTAGACACTGGTGAGTTGGAGTAAGGCAGAGGGAAAGCACACAGGTGTCCACCAGATTCGGTTTCTGGAGAACAGTGAGTAGGCTGCTAGATGTGTGCCAAACCAGATTCTGCCCCTCAGACCAAAGCTCCAGGACAAGCCAATAAGCCTCTTTCACTGAAAGACTGAGGTTGTATTTCAGTCTGCTTCTGCACTGTGCCACGTGTGTAGTAGAGGACCACAAATTGTCTCTCCATTTGCTGTGGTCCCATGGGACCCATGACCACAACCCCTACTGACCACTAAAGCTAGGTGATCAAGGAACATCCCCTGGGTGGTAGCCAATAAATCTGGTGCACCAGACATAAAAGCTGGGGATCAGTCACGTGTACCAGCTCCCATCTGGGAGTTACAGGTACTCTGGAGAATGGCAGAGGAAGACAGCATGTACCTCCCAGGGTGTTGGAAGAGGATTAAGTCAGTGCTTCCGTGTGTGTTTAATTAGAAACTTACCCCTCAGGCCACAGAAGTGAAGATGAATCTAGTAGGTCTCTCACAGGAAGATGGGTGTCTCAGTCTGTGCCTCTCTGCTGTGCTCTGGGATGGTAGCCTGTTAAAACCTCTCTCTCCCTTTGTACAGTCCCGTAAAGATGGAACCTACAAGCATAAGCCCAGCTGGCCACCAGAGCCAGGCAACTGCAAGCTGTTACTGGGTGCCAGCCACAAAAATCAGGGCATCACAGAAGGGTATAAGATCCTTTCCAGGAGATTCCAGAGACCTCAAGTGAGGAAGAGGAAGAAAACAAAGACTGGATCCACAGGGCTCCATCTTTGGAGAGTCATTCAGGAGGCCTCTAGATGTGAATGAAATTAAATGCCTGCCCCTCAAGCCAATGCTTTATGACAGGCAAATAAGCCTCTTCCACAGAAGATCTGGAAACTTCTTGGTTGGTTTCCTCTGCACTGGGTCCCTGGTCAGTGAGTCCACACATGTGGGCCCCTTTAAAATGATTTCTCAGTTCACTATTGCTTTGCGGATCTCTTGGGCACAAGCCCTGTTGACTTTCAAAGCTGGGTGGTTTGGGGGCTTGTCTCTCAGGTGAAGATCTTAAAGTTTGGGTGCTAGATGTGGGGTTCAAACCCTTCACTCTTCAGGGAAAAGCTTGGGGTTTGCATTGCCTCCTGATTATGAGTCACTGTGCAAGGCGTGAGGTTTATGATGAGATATGTCCACACTCTCCTATTCACTTCACTGTGGGTTTTTCTGCTTTTGCCAGAGGTGTAGAAGTCACACAGCTAGCTTTTGCTTTTTTTCCAGAAGAAATTGTTTTCTATGTAGCTGTAAATTTGATATGTCTGTGGGTATAAGTCTATTCAGAATCCTTCTACATTGCCATCTTGAACCACTTACGTAAGGGAAACGTTTAATCATGTTTATGGTTGGTTTATAAAAATGACAGATCAACCCAACTGTATCTGGATCTCTATAAGTTTATTCCACAGGGGACTTTCTGAAGTTCTTGTGGACAAGATGGGCAATTGATGGGTTAGATGGTTTTTGAGATAGCTTGTAATTTCATTAAATAAGCTTATCTGATTCTCAGATGCAAGACTTTGTTCTTAGGCCTACTGCATTACTCATCTGTGTCATCAAACAGTATTATGATTTAGAGGAAATATAGACAAATTCACAAGAGCAATGATACAGGGCATGATGTTCCGAATCTTATTAGCTCAGATTCATCCTTCAATAAGAATTCTATACTCTAGGTTGAATCTAATAACATGGCATTTAGCCATGATAACTATAAGATCCTGAGCATTGGTCAAAGGAATTAGCTGCAGGAATATGGACAGATTGAAACATTTTTAAAAATCATTGAATATTTTCATCAATTTTGAGGTCGGTTTGAGTCAAATCTGTGATGGAACCACCATAAATGCTAATGAGACCACAACCTGCTTTGGTAGAAGTGTGAGAGGTAGAATGAGACTGTTCTAAGTCCTGCCAATGTCAGTGCTGATCAGACCATATGTGAAATATTAGACTTGCTTGAGGAATGATCTTGTTAGCTGGTAAGGATAGATTTACGTGTGCCCACATGAAAGAGCAAAATAGCAAAAATGTTCAGTCCTGTGACAATGATAACACATACTTTTAATCAATCCCCTTTGTGTTCCTTTTGAAAAGAAATCTCACTAGACTATTTATTTATTTCATATCCTTTGAAACACCATAATGAGGGGGATACCATGCTTGTTCTGAAATTAGACAACCAGGGTTCAATTTTCTCCTCTATAATTTAATGGAACAATGAATTAATTTCCTTAAGAATCAGTTTTGCTAATCCAGAGACTCGAGCTTGCTCAATGTAGAGTTATTGTTAAATGACACACATCGTAACATATCATGAAGAAATTCATCCAAAGGTGAAGACAAAATACCCTAAACCTCCAAAAATTTTTGGGAAAAAACCTAGAATGTTTTTTAAAATGAATGAGACTAAATGAGCATTTTAATCTCAATATTGGACGCTTCAAAAAGTGGAGAAAACATCTATCAATGATAAGAGCTGTAGACTTCAGGCCAAGAATGTATACCTAGAGAAGGTATAATATACAAATCTTTGTTAAAGAAAGACGTGAGTATATGCAAAGATCCAAAGTTTATAGTCCACATAATGAGTCTGTAGAAACAATTTGAAAAATTTCTCTAATAAAACAAAAAAGGAAGTTGATCACTATATGAACATGTGCTTAAACATACATGTTAAAAGTACTTACCATATTAGATTAAATCAACAAATTTTAATTATATTATATCTCATTTAAAATATTTATGACATATTTACAGACATCTCATTCTCCAATAAAATTAGAAATAAACAATCAAATGTATACTATAATCTTAAGTATTTAGGTATTAAGAAATATTCCTACTTCATTTCTCTAGTTAAAGAAAGAAAGGAAAGTTTCCTCAATGACTGATTGGAGGCATGAATAAGAATGTTATTTTTATGTATGATGTGATCAATGGAAAATTTTTGTTCTTCTCTCTCCTTCTCACATTGTTTCCAATAAGTAGAAAACAAACTAATGAATGTTAATCCAAAAAACCCCACTAAACCAAAACTCTTCACTCTCTTCCTACATTGAGTTGGTCTGAGAAAAAAAGACAGGGCTCTGCTTTCTGATGAGAATGGGAAAAAAAGGAAAAGAAGACAGATGAGCTAAGTGATAAAATCAGTACTTCCATCTCTCAACCAAGATGCTCATTTAATCAACCAGAGCTAGGATGCATGTACTCAAGGAGAATTAAATAAGTCTGTACAGTTTTCTTCCTGGAGAGTCTTAATATAAGTTCATATATCATATGACACACAAGCCATAATTTTATCTTCTTTACCAAAGAATTCCCTATATACCTCGGTCATCTGAATTTTATAACTTTTCTCGTCCTAGAAACGCTAGTGCAATGAGTGTAATTATGCTAGTAAGAGAATATAATTCATCGAATAGATAATTCATCTCTAGTTTGATTTTTTATTAAGATAAAACATTATTTATACTAATTTTGTTATGTTTTTATATTGCAAGTGAAGCCTTGTGATTTTCCAGAAATAAAACATGGATATCTACATGCTGAAGATTATTATAAACCATACTTTCCAGTGCCTATCGGAAAATATTATTACTATTACTGTAATCAAAATTTTTTGACTCCTTCAAAATATCGCGGGGGTTATATTTATTGCAGAGCAGAAGGATGGTCACCAGCAGTACCATGCCTCAGTAAGTAAACCTCTTTATAATTGTATGTGTAGAGGTATTTCAAAGAGTGGAGAGAGAAAAACACATAGGGGAATAGAATTAAGTTTTATATGAAAAAAATAAGGCCAAAGATGAGTTCTACAGCCAAAATGACCAGTATAGATCTTTCCTTTCAGAAGATTTTCATGAAAACCACATGAGAGATAAAGATAGAGACTTCACAGGAATATCTATATCTTTTATACATATTTTAATCATAAAACTGAAAGTAAATAATGTTGACTATTAATTTTTCATTTTAAAAAATGGTAATAACGTTAGTTTTTCTTAAGTTCTATATTATTTTTGGATGCTTATTCATTTCAATTTAAATATTGTAAATAAAGTTGGTAATTTGCTATTTTTGCCAAATTTATGGGTTCTTAAAATTTTTATTTATGATCCTTAGGACAATGTACTTCCACTCACTTGGAATATGGAAAGTTTCCACATTGGGGAAGAACATATTTACAGGGTGAATCTGTAAAAGTGGAATGCTATTCTGGCTACAGTCTTCCAGATCAGCAGAGCTTAATGACATGTACAGAGAATGGCTGGTCCCCTCCTCCCAGATGCATCCGTGTCAGTAAGTAAACTGATCTGAGATCCCAATATGTTTATGATTTGCTAAGACTCATCTATATTAACTGTGACAAAATGTTTATCTCGACTTCTTCTTTTGCCAATGGGCCTATTTGATTTTCTTTTTTTCAAGTGTGTATGAATGGATATAAAAATTTCCTGATACATATGTAGCAAAATAAATGAGCCTACTGATAGACATTAGTCAAGAAAACAGTCAAAGAAATGCATAAAAGAAACCTGTAATATAGGGTGATTTCAACGAGATGGGAGAGAAAGAGTTTCTATTTTTTTCCCCACAAAGAACACCAACTTTGACAATGACCTATGGCCAAGAGTGTCTTTTTGAGAGTTAGAGAATTTAGCAGAGACGTTTCAGCACACAATTGGACCCAAACTATCCAAGACTGGACGTATTGAAGAGGATGAGAAGAATAATTTCACTTAGCTGATTAACCAATCCCCTAAAGTGGCACAGCTCAGTGCCAAGAGAGATCCACTCTGCCCATGATATTTCACTTGGGGAAAGAAAGAGCATGTGAGTGAGTGTGTGGCTTCCTGAGGTGTGCGTACCACTGACAAAAGGACTCATTTCTTACCCACTACATCCATAATTCTGAGGTGATCTGCATGACCGAGGGTTTTGAGAAAAACTAGGAGCACGGTAGCCAGAGCTCAGAATCCCTCAAGGGACACAGATCCTACTAACCACTTTGCAGCCTCCATTGGGAAGCCCACTCAATAACCACAGGGAAGCCCTTGCTTGCAGATCCTGCTCACTCATGGGCACCCCTAAAACATCACTCCTCTCACCCACACGCTCCACTCCCCTTCCCATGGTTGGCTCCCTCTGTACTCCTCCAAAAGTAGTGAATGGGAGCCTTTGCAAGTGGGTAGTGTGCAAACTCAGAAAGCAAATCTGACTCCACAGGAATGTAAGGGAGCCCAAATTGATCATTTGGCACTGCCCCAGGGAAATAAAACAGGAAGCTGTCAGGACCTAGACTGTCTTGGCAGGCTTGAGAGAATGCATATACTGTAAGAATTCCCTCCCAGAGGTCATAAGACAGGTAGAGCAGGTGTATAGATAGAAAAGTTCTGGAGAAACCTCAGAATCCCTAGCTGGGGTGAAAGAAGTTAGTTCTTTACCAAACTCACTCAGTACAGACTAGAGGAACTGACTGTTCCTTCAAATGCATAAACTGCAATGCAACACGTCAAGAACTAGGAAAAATCAAGGAAACATGATGCCACAAAAGGAACACAATAATTTTCCAGTAGCTGACACCAAATAATGAAAACATATGGTTTGCCTAATAAAGAATTCAAAAAACTTGGTTATGGAAGCTCAATGAGCTACAAGAAAGCCCAATTCAAGGAAATCAGGAAAACAATGAGACACAAACCATGAAAAGAAACCAACAGAAATTCTGGAACTGAAAAATACAATGAATGTAATGAAAAATACAATCAGAGCATCAACAACAGATTTTACCAAACAGGAGAAAGTCTATGTAAAGTAGAAGACAGGTTATTTGAAAGGTTCCAGTCAGAGGAGAACAAAAGAAAAAGAACTATAGAGTGAAGAGTGCTTACATGAATTATGGGAGTTTATCAAGGGAAACATTTTAGGCATTGAGAAGGTACGAGAGTGAGAAGAGTTGGAGAAAGGGGCAGGAAGTTTATTTAAAGAAATAATGGCTGAGGCCTTACCAAACCTGAGAGAAGATATGGACAATCAAAATCAAGAAACTTACAAATCCCTAAACAGATTTAACCCAAAAGCATCTTTTACAAAACTTACTAATAAAAATGGCACAACCAAACACAGAATTTTGAAATCAGCAAGAGAAAAAAAATCCCTCACATACAAGGGAACCCACATAACGATATCAGGAGATTCATCAACAGAAACCTTGACACCAGAAGAGAGTAGGATGATATATTCAAAGTGATGAAATAAAAAAAAAAACAAACCCTGCCAACCAAGAGTAGTTTACCCAGAAAAGCTGTCTTATATAAATGAAGGAGACAGAAAGACATTACCAGACAATTCAATGCTGAGGAAATTCCTCAACACTAGACCTGCCTTAAAAGAAATGCTAAAAGGAGTTCTTCAAGTTGAAATGAAAGGACATTATTTACTAACATAAAAACGTTTAAAGATAAATCAGATACTGGTAAAGGTAAACAGATAGTCAAACTTAGAATACTTAAATACTCTAGTATGGTGGTGTACAAGCCATTTATTTCCAATAGAATGATCAAAGGACAGAAGTTCTAGAAATAATTATAGCTACAATAATTTGTTAATGGATACTCCATATAAACATATGTAAATTGTGACAAAATACATGGAGAGGAGTAAGAGGGTAGAGTTCGTGCGTGCAAACAAAGTGACTTTGTCATCAGCTTAAACTTATCTGTGATATGTATGTTAGTTTCATGTAAACCACAAAGCAAAACCTATAGTAGATTCAGAAAAGATAACGAGGAAGAAATCAAGGTGTAGCACTATGGAAAGTCATTAATTCACAAAGGAAGGCAGCAAGAGAAAGGGAAAGGAGCATTGGAACTACAAAGAAGCTAGAAAACAATTAATTGGATGGCATTAGTAAGTCCTTACCTATTAATGATTATTGTGAATGTAAGTGAATTAAATTATCCAATCAAAAGACATAGAGGGATGAATGGATAAAAAAATAAAAGACTCAACTATGCGCCACCTACAAGCCTCACTTCAGCTCTGAGGACACAGATGTGCTGAAAGTAAAGGGACGGGATAAGACACTCCGTGCAAACAGAAACCAGAAGAGCCCGGGGGGAGCTAAACTTACATCAGACAAATAGACTTGAAGTCAAATAGTAACAAGACACAGAGAAGCCATTATACAATGATGGAGGGGCCAAATCCTCAAAAAAATTGTAAACGTAGATGCATCCATCTTTGGAGCACATAAAAATATTAAGCAAATACTGACATATCTGAGGGCAGAAATAGACAGCCATACAATAATAGGAGGAGAATTCAATACCTCACTTTCAACAATGAGTAGCTCATCCACAGAGAAATTCAACAGGAAAATGTTGAACTTGAAATATACCTTTGACCAAATGGACCTAAAAGACACATACAGAACTTTCCATCCAACAGCAGGTGAGTATATATTTTCTGAAGCTCACACAGTACATTCTCCAGGATAGATAAAACGTTAGATCACAAAACAAGTCTTAAAACTTTTAAGAAGATTAAACTAATGCTGACTATCTTTTCTGACTATGGTTTTATGAAATTAAACATCAACAACAGAAGGAAAACGAAAATTCACAAATATGTGGAAATGAAACAACTCACTCCTGATAAAACGATGGGCCAAAGAAGACATCAAAAAGGGACATCAGAATACATCTTAAATCAAACCAGAAACCACAATATACTAGAGAGCTGCAAAAGTAGTTCTATGAGAGGTGTTTTTAGTGATAGATGCCAGAAGGAGAAGAGAATGACCTCCAATAAATAATCTAACTTTAAGCCTCAAAAACTACAAAATGAACAGTTAAGCCTAAAGTTAGGAAAATAAAAAAATAACCAAAATTAGAGCAGAAATATACGTAATAGAGGCCAGAAGAAATATTAAAAATCAACAAAACTAAGACTTAATTTTTTTGAAAAAGATAAGCAAAATTGATGAATCTCAGACTGAGAAAAAAGAGAGGCGATCAAATAAATAAAATTGGAAATGAAAGAAAAGACGTTACAACAGATGCCACAGAATTAGAAAAGACCCCAAGAGACAATTCTAAATAATTATACACCAGCAAATTGGCTAACCTAGAAGAAATGGATAAACTCATAAAAACATACAACTTATCAAGACTGGATCCTAAAGAAATAGAAAATCTGAACAGACCAATGACAAGGAATGTAAGATTGGAACAGTAATCAAAAACATTCCTACAAAGAAAAGCCCAGGACTGGAAAAGCCCAGGACTAGAAGTTTTCACTGAATTCTACCAAACATTTAAAGAAGAATTAATGCCAGTCCTTCTCAAACCATTCTAAGTAATTGAAGAGCTGGGAGCACTTCCAAAGTCATTTTACAAGATCAGCCTTACCTTGATAGCAGAGCCAAACAAGAATACTACTAAAAAGAAAATTTTATGCCAATACCACTGACAAACATACATGCAAAAGTGATCAACAAAATATTAGCAAATTGAATTCAAGAGCACATTAAGAGAATCATATACCGTGATGAAGTTGGATTTATCCATGGGATTCAAGGCTGGTTCAACAGATGCAAATCAGTTAACTTGGCACACCACATTAAGGATATGAAGGGTGAAAAACATATATCCTCAATAGATGCAGAAAAGGCATTTGAGAAAATTCAACGCCCTGTATGATAAGGAAAAAACCCTTACTCTCAACAAATTATGTATTGAAAGAATGTACCTCAACATAATAAATATCATGCATGAGAAGGCCACAACTAACATCTTACTCAATAGTGAAAAGCTGAAAGCTTTTCCTCAATGAGAAAGGAAAAGAGAAGGATGCCCACTCTCATCATTTTCCTTCGGCATAGTAGTGGGGTCGCAACCAAATGAATTAGGCAACAAAAGGAAATAAAAGTCACTCCAAATAGGAAAGAAAGAAGTAAAGTGGTGTCTGTTTGCAGCTGACATGATCTTATGCTTAGAAAACCCTAAGGACTGCACCAAAAAACTGTTAGAATTAATAAAAGAATTCATTAAAGCTGCAGGAGACAAAAATCAACATATGAACATAACTCGCAACTAACACTAAACTATCAGAAAGAGAAATTAAGAGAACAATCATTTACAATCACATCAAAAAGAAGAAAATATCTAGGAATAAATTTAATCAAGGAGGTAAAAGACTTGTAGCCTGAAATCTATAAGACAGATGAAATCAATTGAAGAAGACACAAATAAATGGAATGATATCCCATGTTCATAGAGTGAAAGAATTAATATTGT